CATATGCCAGTACAAGCTCTAGCCAATCAAACCGCGTGCTTGTGTGTCCGGGGCGGGAGATTAATGTGATTGGTTGTTGGTCGAGTTTCAGACACGCCCACCGGCAAGCTTCAACGCGACGCTGCCGTGTGGACGTACCGTAAATGTGCAACAAGCTGCATCTTTAATATTCAAACGGTCTGCTCTTAAGACTTATTACATTCAACTTCTAGCTGAATGACTTGCAATATATACAATATATGAAAAGGCAGAAATATATATATATATATCTATCAGTAAGTTTCCTGAACAACAACTCACACACATTCCTCGTCTATCAGCCACAAAATGTTTGGAATGACAAGAATTTGTTTTTGGTCACAATCAGCAAAACAAGTCCAATTTTTGGGTGTGCTCATGAGCTTTCCATAAAGTCATTCGGAGTCACAATCATTAAGCTTTTGTTTTGTGACTAACTAATCCTTAAGGCGTGGAATAGTTGATTTGCAGGTTTAATCAAATCAAGGAATATTGGCTTAAATTTGATGACATTTTTTAAAGAAAGGACTTCTATTTGAGGTATAACTCTTATTTTAAGAGAATTTAAAGACTGTATTTCAATATGTATCAAGTCTTGACTAATATACAGAATATTAAAAAAATTGACAAAACTGAGATTTCTTTTTTAACCAAATTTAGCCCAGCTTTCTAGTAGTCGTGCACCTGCAATGATCAAAGTGTTGCTTATTGCCCATTATTCTTATTTGACTTTATAAAGAGCTCATGGTTTCCACTGGTTCACTCTTTTTTCCTTGACTGCAGTCTGTCCTATAGTTCCTCTCCGTGGGGGGGGCAGAGGGGTGTCAGTACTCTGTAGTTTTCACGTTGACGGAGGACAGACTCTTCCCCATGCTGTGGAAGAGAGGCGTGATGAACATGTCCGTCAGACTCCTCCAGACCACCTGCAGCGAGGGCAGCAGCATCAGGAAGCCCTGGAGCGCCGGCATCAACAACCTGCAGGAGAGAGGGGGCAAAGGTCACTTCAGAGCAGATGCTGATACGATAACACTTTAATGGTCAGATGAAGTCTGAAATGTGACTTGCACCACAGCAGCTCCATGTGCAACATCAACAGACAAACATCAAGACACAATTTAAAACATTTAACATAACATCCCAATCACTGAGATCGCTGAGGTAAGATACTCTCAACACATGCAACTAATGAGGCAAGTAGTTTACTTAACTTGCTTTTGTTAGATTAAATCTTCACTCTTTTGAAGGAAGACCTTGTTCTTCAGGTTTTTATTTTGTACCATCAATGTTGAAAAAGCATAGTTGTAGTAAAGTGAGAGTTGAAAGAAGATACCACATGAGGTTTTTCCCGGGAATTCAAATCAATAACCAATTCACGTAATGCTTTGAAAGTCAACCCTCTGAAGAAGCTATATGTGAATTTGAATGACTTTAAGTGAACTTTTCTTGCTTGTGTTTAGCTGCATACACATGATTACACTTTAAACTTTGAGCGCAGTGCTCGGGAAATATTTCGCTCTCCATAGAAATAGTAAATGGACTGTTCTTATAAAGTGCTCTATGCAGTCTTTTTGACCCCTCAAAAGCACCTCACATACTACGAGTCATTCACCCAATCACACCTCTTTCATGCAGAGCTCTAGGAAGCTAACATTCACACACAAGGACCACCTGACATGTTGACTGCTCGGGCCGGGATCGAACCAACAACCTTTTGGTTGAAAGACGACCACACCCCCTCACAGCCACAGTCGCCCTACAACGGTGACATCACATGTACTACGTATGATGTGAATGCAGCTTAAAGCTTGCATTTTGAGTAGGGATGTCCCGATCACCTTTTTTTGCTCCCGATCCGATTCCGATCATTTGATTTTGACAATTTGCCGATACCGATTTTTCCCGATCCGATCTTTATGCAATGCATTAAGAGAGAAAAAAAGCATTCAAGTTGTCCCTTAAGGTTATTTTTTTATTTAAATTGGATATTCTATCCAACATGGATATAGCTTCTTTCTTTCAGAGCAGCATTGGATCAGTTCAGTTGTGCAGCATTGGATCAAAACAAAATAAAGCTTATCAGTACTCGTTAGCTTACTGCTACAATTAGACACTGCGCCCACTCTGTTGCCAGATTTGAGAGAAATAAGCAACCAGGTCTATGAAAACAAGCCCCAAAGAAGCAACACATACATGATGTTGTGTTGTGTTGACGACTTGAACATGGGCATTTTTGTTTTGTAACATTGAATAAAAAAATTAAAAAAAAGTATTTAAAAAAAAATCCCGATCCCCGATTTTTTTTCTCCCGATTCCGATCTTTTGAAAATCACGTGATCGGCTCCGATCCCCGATCACGTGATCGGATCGGGACATCTCTAATTTTGAGGCTTATGAAGCACCATCAATGGTCCACTGTTGTTACCTGACCTTATAAGCTATACTGCAACAAGGAAGGCAACTGAGTTCCAGCAATAGTTGAGATGATGACACGTAACTGTTATCCTGGGAATTCAATAAGATTTCAATCTAAAGCATCCTTTGGTTACTGAAGAATGCAGCTGACGGTCAAATATTAAATCCAGAGTGAAGTCAACCCTCATATATCCTCAAAGCAATATCTTTGAATCACAAATGGCTCTTTAAATGGTTAGAGTGGGTGTTTTCTTTCCTAAACTCAATCATGGGATGCATGATTATTTTTAGCATCTATTTTCTGGTTGCTGCACCCCGAGCTTGACCTGTTTCTGTTTTGATCATACACGTATGTTTCGGCAAAATCTGAACTTTGTCTTAGATCATAAGTTCGATAAAAGGAAACTACCTAGCTTGAAGCAAAAACAGCATGACCCAGATAAGACTATTTAAGTTTTTTAAGACACCATTTTCTATGCCGTGAGAGGGTTTGAAATGACCCTTCGATTAATATTGGGCACCGTTTTCCTTAACAATGTTTCAAATTCATATCTGGCATTAGTTTGATCTAATCACCTGCTGTTATTGTCTTGTCTCTATGATGGTGTTCAAAAAGAGAAACTATCCCATTGTTACATTCCAGCAGCTTGTCACCTTTGCTCCAATATATTAAATAAATAAAAAGACGTGTTGGGATATCTTTGAAGTGTGTGAAGTCCCCTCCTCACATTCCTCATGTATTGACATCTGAGCGTCACCACTCAGGCTCTATTGTTGAATACCTGCTGAAGATTCCTCCTTTAAACTCATCACGAGCGTGTGACCTCTAGGTGAAAGGTCGCACTCTGCAGCTCTCTCTCTCTGCATCTGAAGAATGTCCCACTCCTGTCTTTAAATAATAATTTGTGCTGCTGCTCGAATGCCAGCCATCCTGCAAAGGGCCACGGGGCGTTTTTTTATTTTCCACTACCACTGGAACTCTAAATTCCTCCCAACTTTCCAGAGAGCGCAGGGGTACAAATGTTGTTTCACTGAGTGTTAATAAAAGGGACTCTTTGGGCTGTGCATGGTGGGGAATATAGAAGCATGTATTGGATGATCTGCAGGCACCTGGGTTACCTTGCATGACATCATTATCCAAAAATAAAGGTATAGAAACAAGAGGCTGACAAAAAGTTTCAACGTCATACCACGTATTTCACTTTTGAGAGAAGAGCCACAACAACTTTGCTGGTATTAGCAGAGGCCCCTGGGGACAAGTCAATTAGAGTTTCTGTAATGTTCCCACAGACTCTGAAAAACGCAAAACAGGGCTTTTAAGTGTTATGATGTCACCAGCCCACTCTCTTCAGTCTGCGTACAAATGACACGAGTTTGCAAAGGCGTGCAATAGATACGCAGGAGTCTGATTTTGCGTGCGTATGATACTCCCACGTTACGTTTGATATGAACGTATCTTAAATGCGTTTATTTTCTACATATCTTTGCCATTTATTTAACCCTAACCCTAACCATAACCCAATAAGCTGCTGTGTCGTTTATTGCACCGCAACCATTACAACTGTCATTGGAACGGCGATCAAGCCTGAAGCCACAGAGCTCTTTGTTTTAATGTTTGAGGTACAATATCAGCGTATCATATGCACGCAAAATCGGACTTCTGCGTATCTATATTGCACGTCTTTGCAAAGTCGTGTCATTTGTACGCAGACTGTGAGACCGGGTTGGATTTTACTCTAATTGTATTTCAAAGAGTGTTGTGTCTCCGTAACAAGTCAGGAAGTTGTAGATCTCTTTTCTCTTCTCTTTGAATCTTTTGTATCCAGTGCTCGGGAGCATTTAACAAGATGTCATTAAGCGACAACATTAACTAGATGTTGCTGTGTCTTGCTGGTTGTTCAACAACATTCATATTTGGGTCGTAATTTAAAGAGGCCCTACTCTTTTGGGGGTTTTCCTCAAATGGGACTCCTTTGTTTACTTCTGGAACATAGTGACATCACTATGTAACACTTGTGATATATCGCTCAAACACATTGTTGCACGTGATAGGCTAAGGGGCGGGACATCTCTAAGCGGTTGACCAATCACAACAGAGCCGGCCAGCTAACCAATCAGAGCAGACTGGGCTCTGGTTTCAGACAGAGGGTGAAAAGAGGTGCTGCAGCACAGGCAGTATGAGAACAATAAAGAGCTTTTTGAACATTAAAGCATGGAGACATGTCCCAGTGGAGACACTACATACTGATATACACCTGAACATCAGCAGGAGAGGACTCTTTAAAGTAGAGACACTACATACTGATATACACCTGAACATCAGCAGGAGAGGACTCTTTAAAGTAGAGACACTACATACTGATATACACCTGAACATCAGCAGGAGAGGACTCTTTAAAGTAGAGACACTACATACTGATATACACCTGAACATCAGCAGGAGAGGACTCTTTAAAG